CGACGAGGGACTATTTGGGCTTGTGCCGAAGACTTGGTGTTGACGACATTCCCATCTTCCCCCTCCTCTTCGTCTATCCCCTTCCTCCTCGTCTGTGCATGTTCTGGGCTGGCGCTGTCTTCCTGTGTGAAGCGCCAGATCCATTCACACTATGAAACGATGATGATGATGATGTATGTTCAGGGCTGCATTACCACATTGATTGTTCGGATCACTAGTATCTAAGTCTTCCGCTGTGCTATCTTATACTTTGTATTGAAAGGTCGGTTCTTGTTCTGGCCTGCACCTATACGGTATGCAACATTCTGTCTCCTTTTGCATTCTGAGGAGGAACGTCAGTCCAGTTCCTATTCCACCAGCAAGTCAGGAAGAATTATCGAAGATACTCACGCACACACGGTCCTCCCCAGTATAGGTTTTGTGTGCTGGTCTTATGATCTAACCATGAGTTAAAAAGTAATACAGTACTTAATAACATCTGTAGTGAGTTATTAACTTATTACTCTGCTCCATTAGCATGTGTACCTTAGCCTCTCAATCATGGTGATGGACCCTGGGGCAGTATGAAGCCATTTCAGTGAGTTCTATCAAGAAGTAATGGGTGAGGTTGGCTTCCTTTGAAAACATTCCAGTGAGTTATATCAAGAAGTCATGGGTGGTGAGTCTGGTGACCCTTTCCTCCTTTTTCTTTCTGGGATGTACTGCGGAAATAACAGTCCCTCCAGATGGGTGGAAGAGTTTCTTGCTTTACCAATTTGCTGAATGCCACTTACGTGCTCAACCAACTGAGCTGGGCCGCCGGCCCAGCTGGATTCTAGTTCTCTCCGGTACTCCACCCCCCCCCAAAAAAAAGAACCCTCTGTATCAGTTTTATCCTTCCTTGCTCTGCTACCTATTGTCTCCTGTTCTGAGAAAGGTCCCAGCTAACTACTTGTGCATGTTCTCTGTCTGCCTGCGTCCGTTCTGTCGCCAACTCTCCTGCTTTCTTTGCCTCTGTCATGCAGGCTGCAAGAATCAGATACAATGCATATTGTGCATGGCAACCAAGATATGGTAAGCAGCCTCGTCTTTTTTTCTTTTTTTTTTATGTTGGACCTTAACCATTTTTTGTGTTATCCACTTTGGCCCTAACCAATCTTTTCAATATTTTATTATTTTGTATTACCCTCCACTGGCCATTTTTCACAGGTCATCCTTGTTTGGAGCTTATCCACATTGTCGTATCTTGTTCATAATGGCCCCTTTTTTTTTTCTTTTTGTTTTTTAACAGAACAACCTGAGCAGATGCTAGGGGTGCTGATAAGAGTAAACACCTCTAGCACAGACCGGGAGTGTCCCTGAACATTGAGATTGTCTGTGTGATCTGTTCACAATGGCCCTAACCACTCTCTTTTTTTTGGGGGGGAAGGGGGGGCGATGGACCACGGATCAGATAGTAAACTGATGATCAGAACAGATACTACACTTGATCTATTTTTAGCCAAACGGGGAAGGGGGGGGCGATGGACCACGGAGAAAGTGTAGCCACTATTTTGTATTGTCCACTTGGCATTTTTCACAGCTCATCCATGTTTGGATCTGCTTATCCACATTGGTATCTTTTGTTCACAGGCTTCTTATCCAGATTGTATCATATGCACATTATTGGAAACGGGCCACCTTGGCTGCCTGGGCCAACAGCCAGGCAAGGTCCCGCAGACTTCCTGCAACGAAAAAGAAAAAGAATTTTGAAAAAATAAATTAGGTTATGCAGAATGATAAACTGAACAACTCTTGGACCAGTTTTGAACTCATCAGGAAAGTGACCCTATGGGTTAGATGGAAGGAGAAATGCAGCAGAACAATTGAAGGACGGTCCAACCCACGGGAGAAGGTGTGGATAGAAACTAGAACAATGATTCAAGCTGAGATCCTTTGCAGATGGCGAAAGATCAAACAAGCCTGGACAGAAGAGGAAGAACAGCAGAAGAAGGAGAGGCCGACTTTCTATAAGAACTGGCTGGTATATGGCAAGGCTGCAGAATTGCGACAGGACCGGGTATGCTGGAGAGTATGGCACAATTCAACTCCAGTAAGGGGCTTTCAACAACAGATAACGTTGGAGGGCATATTCGCACCTTTGGCCGCAAATGAATGCATACAATCCTCAAGAGGCCCAGAGGGTACAGACAAAGAGGGAACGTGGGAGAAAAGAGGACAAAGTGGAGAAGGTGATAAATACCGGAGCAGGAACGAGGGTTGCAAAGAAAGATTTCATCACAGAGGTCCGGAAGCAAACGAAGTCCTGCCAGGTTCCACGGTTGACGATCGGAGGACAGGAGCGCAGGCGGAAGTTTTAGGGTTTAAGGATAGACGGTTGATCATCCAAAGGGGCAGGGAGGTGTGTGGGGAGGGAACAGGTCGGCAAGGACAACGGATGAGCTCTTTCTAGGGTCAAGGGCGCTATCTGGCAGATCTGGAATCCAGGTCTGAGAGGAAAGAGAGGGACAGGGCAAGCTGACAGTCAATCCTCCACCGCAGTGGAGTAATCAATGCTGTTCAGGGGTCCTTCGGCCTGACGGAACGAAGTGTGTGTGTGTTTATTGATGTAATGTACTTTTTGACTTGCCGGTGGAATAGGAACCGGACTGACGCTCCCCAGAATAGAAGGAGCCAGGTCCATTAAAAAAA